TGAGAGTCTTCATAGGGATTCAGGGCTTCTTCCAGTCACCCTCATGCCTAGTCCTTGAACCCTGTACAAAGATGTTGGGTACTTACTGCTGATTCATAGTGCTGAGATATTATATCCAACTAGGATATAAGTGAGATTGGAGGGAAGCAGGAGTTGGGACAAAAAGGGAGCTGTAAGGAAACCTAGGAATAATCAAGCTTAGGGAGGAAACTGAGGTTTGTATCACCATTATTTGAGTTAAAGCCAATCCTCTGGGAGGGGCTAAGGATGGAATACATACAGTGTGTATATACACTATTTTCAGAGTTACATTTATTTACATGCTACCTCCTCAGAGCAAACATCACCCAGTAGCCAGACCCAAATATCTATGAAAACACAAACGCGGGCAAGCCATGAAACTATTCCATGGACCTCTGGGGCAATTTGGGCTACTGTTCCCTTGTCTAGTGCTCAAAGTCTTGTATTCAGTGAAGATGGAAAGGGTCACTATTGGTCAAAATATCCTGCGTCTGTTTTTCCACACCCCCAAACAGAAAAACATCAGTGTGTTTTTTTAAATGCATCATGTCAAAGTTCAAAAGGGCTGAGGCTCCCCTGTCTTTTTATAGGTGCTCTTTGCCTCTGAAAAATTTGCATCTGCAATCTTGGATCCACATAGTGAACTTCAGGAGCAAAATGGTGGCCACCATTCTGAAAGTTTGGCCTAGTATGTTTATGTTTCAGGTTGATGTTCTTCTGCCTACACTGCCAGTGAGAGATGGATGAATAATGTTCCTGGTTGTCCTCGTAACACTCCTTTCAATCCAGCCAATATCTATTTAGTACCTGCCAGGGCACAGGGATGGTGCTGAGCAAGACTCGCATAATCTCCTCTGCCTTCTCCTTTTCCTTTATGTGACTGGTCGAAACTAGAATGGATTGTTTCCCCCAAACATTTCAGTTTACATTAGGCATGAATTGCTCTATTAGCAAGCTGAGAGAATTAGCTTCATTTGCTCACATTTCCCTAAGACACAAATATGAACTAGCACTTTGCTTCAGTTAAACACAAGCTGCTCAATGGAAAAGGAGTGCGATGACATCCATGAGACCTTTCCATTGACATTTTTGATACTCAGTCTTATTTATTATTTCCATCACTGTAACACCTACAAACCCCAACCATGGTTCAGAGATGGTACTAGAAACTCTACAGACAAGTCACAACTCACAATACTGGCGGCGGTGGGGGGGGAGAGCGGGTTGTTTGTATGTCTGTTTTTAATCACCCTTATAGAAAGGTTCATTAAAATATATATTTTTTTAAATTGCAAGAATCTTAAAGCCAAGAAGAAGTAAAAAGTCCATTAGGAAATGGAAGCAAGGGAGTGAAGATGTCCTGGAAGAGGTCATTTATTTGGTACAAACCGGAGCTGGTCAGAAAAATGGATGCACTTGGGGTTGGAGGGATTCCACTGAAAATTTCAGCTTTATTTTTTCCAAAAACCTAGAAGTCAAAATATTTTCAATTTTCAGATGCCAAAAACTGAATTTTTTGGACCAAAAACTGAAACATTTTTAGTTTTCTACACACAAAAAAGATAAATGATCAAGTAAAGCAAACATTTTCTGTGAATTTTTTTATTTAATCTAAAACCCCACTTTTCACTGAAAAAATGCTTTTATGGAAATTTTTCATCCAGCTTTAGCCCAAACTGAGGCTGTAGGGTGCCTGAGCTGAAGGGATCTAAGTATAAAAGCTTCCCACGTACTTTTTCTTGGGAGCACATGACATGTGTCCCTTCGCCAACCAGTTTAGCCAGTTCACTCCCCCGTCCCCTGTACACAGACCCTCCGCACCCCATATTGGACCTCAGGTTTCCCTGAAGGACCCCAGAGGATTTCATGAGAGCTAGACCAAAATGCTGCATCTGGATTCTGAACCTTTAAACTGCAGGGATGTTCAGATCTAGGGTTTGGGGTTGACCATTTATCAAAACCGGGGCTCTTTGGATGTGGATTTTGAAACCCCTTCTCCAGCTCCCTAGAGTTCAGGGCTGTTCAGATCCAGGCTGGGGTTCAGGCCTGTCTCCCGGTAAGGCAGGAATATCTGGGGTCATAAAACATTCCTACACATATTTTTTTACTGGGAGAAGGGTTAAAACTTCCTAGGCACTTCTTACACAGGGGTGGGGGGCAAGGGTTCCATGTCGGCAGGGAAGGAATACATCTTTCAGGGGCCTAAAAAAATCAAATCATAAATAAATCGCCCGTGCAGCCATTTCAATCCAGCACTTAGCTTGTGCATTGTAGAGTTAGCCACGGCGTGGCACAGAACCCGGGCGGGACCCCTCTTCAGCCCCATTACTCAGCAGTGCAGGCGAAATGTGGCCGGCTGTACAATATCACACCCACAGCGCAGTAAACAAGCATCAAATTGCCTACTTCCATTTGTTCCTGCTGTTCGCCCGGAGTGCGGAGTTGTGTGAAATGACTGCATCCATTTGCACACCAGGCAGTTCTGTAGGCGCTTCTCCTGAATGTTACCGAGACCAAATTTCATCAACAGTCTGACTCTGTGTGGGGAACTCCATGGGACAGAAACCCCTCCCCACAACCTGCAGGCTGCCTTCAGTCGCTGCTCTTAGAACATTGGAATATTGGCTGCAACCCCAAGCACATTAGGACACATCCAATGGCCCTGGCTTGCCACACCCCCATGCTCCTCTTCTGAGCCAGACCACTTGGGGCATCTGCAACCCACAACTGTACTACATGCAGGCGCTCTGCAGAGGCAACAGATGAGTGCAGGGCTGAGGGGGGAACACCCGTGTGCCCCATTTGAAAGGACGGTCCTGACGTTACAGGGTTCTCTTCCTTCTAACTTCAGAAGCTCGCCCAACACTTGTCCCCATTCCCATTTCCATCACCCGACGGTTCCTCTCCCGGCACCCTCCGCTCAGTCATGCGCGGTGTTTATTATGTCAGTGGATGTAGGTCTTGGTTTGCAGACAGGTCATGCAATGAAGGCCCCAGACTGCACTGGATGAGGTGCACAGCCAAACGACCCCCGGGGACGCCCCAAGAGGCACAGCCCTTCCCAGTGGAGGGACTGCTTTTGGCATGCTACAGTCTATGCCCCTCTCCGCACCCGGTCAGGGTGGAAAGGGAAACGGATCACAGCTCTAGCCCTATCTCTTCCCAGTATCCATTGGAGTGGATTAGTCCCAGGAGGGGCCCAGCGGGAGCAATCCCTATGCTCTTGCAAATGCAGACACTTCTTGATCCTGGGGCTTGCAAGAGGAGAGTGGGGAGGGATGCAGAAGGCCTTGCCTGATTGGCTATCGTTAAGCATCATGCCCAACTCTGGTGCTAACCAGATGGCACTGAATAATAATACTAATAACAACATAAATGGATCAGAAAGGCAAAGATTAGCTGACCACTGATCCCCTTGCAACAGACCAAGTAAACATGGTGCAGCAGCTGCAGCATGGCCCCCCATGTCTCCACACTCTCCAGGGTCAGCCCCTCCCTGTCCAGGGTCTCCTCCTTCCATCCACCAACTTCTCTGCCGTAAGAGCACTGAAAAACTGCCTGCTCAAAACAGCAAGTCTTGGCCTTTTTCTCACCGATCCAGACTCATTCGAATGGCTGTGATATTTAGGGCCAGGTTCTGCGACCCTTCCCCCTGCTGAGCAGTACGTACTCACAGTAGTCCCACTGGGATTACTCACAAGAGTAAGGGCTTCTCAGCATGAATGAGAGATGCAGCATCAGGCCCAGAATAAAGAAAATCTAATCGTGCAACCCTTTATTTTACTTCAATAAACATTTCCCAGCTTGATGTGCTCAGACCAGTATAAAATAACTCCAGCATTTAGAGCTCCATAGTCAAGGCCAGACTGTAAACCCCATCACATTACTGAGCAGTTACTCACCTGAGTGACTCCATTCCCAATAGAAAGGGGGTCACAATCCAGCCCTAAATAAGCAGTGACCTGAATCAAAAGTGACACACTGGTTCTATCAACAGAGGGTGATGCCCCCTCCCGATGCAAATTTTTATTTTACTTTACAGGAAATGATTTGCTCTGGCTTCATGGGGAGAGGTGATTTAAATCATGGAAGAAAATGAGAGTTTTTACTCCTTTGCGTTTTTCTATGTACAGAATCATCAAAACCATTGATACATTAAATATTAAAGGCCAGAAACATGTCACTAAATGCCGGGAGATGGACCCTGGTGGGGACAACATCTGCTCATTCCTCTACCCTCTCCCCCCCCCCCCCCCCGCCACAAAAGTCTTTCTGCTATAGAAAATCAATCCAATGTATCTAGAGCCGGACGTTCATCTGCAGTTAGAGATGCTGCCCTCATCTCTGGAACATTGTGTTGCATTCTATTTTTATGGTGTTTTTAAAAATAGTGACGCTCGGAACTTTTCAGATTTGTACCCTGCAGAGCTAGGAGGCCGCCAAGCACTTCGTTTCCCTTTTGCATAGCACCAAAGGAAGGGATTAGACTCCCTCTCCAGTCTAAACCCAAACCCTAGCATGGCACAGGAGCTGCGGTGTGAAACGGGGGTGCCCGTAGTCCCCCAGGGACCTTCACAGACTGCCGGCTGATTATTTCCAAATCCTTGCTCTTCCGGCTGACAGTGCCTTACACAACTGGCAGAGTCCACCTTTTGAAATATATTTTACCCCTCTGTTCTGTTCTCTGGGTTAACTCTGCTTCCTTTAGGAGGCACCAGAGGGTTGTTTAATATGAACTGTGGCTGAAAACCTTCATCATCCCTGAGGAACCACAGGGGGGGAAAAAACTCCTTAGCTAAAATGCAAAGGAAATAACTTGGAGAAATGCAAGAGTTTCAAACATGGTCTCTATCACCCAGGGCATCAGTTCACTTCCGCTTGCAGTCTAAGGTTCCCCCCCACCCCGCCCTCTGCTCACTCCCCACTCTCAGGAAGAATAGCGAGGGGAGGGGGGTTGGTGAGATGTGTGCATTGCCTACCTGACAATAACATACATGACCGAGCAGTTGCCCACCAGCCCCACTATGCACACGATGGAGTAGACGACCACAATGGTGATCTTGATGCCCAGTGGCAAGAAGCCGTCTCCTGTGCCGTTGTTAAACCAGTTACTGGGAAAACTCAGGTTCAGCATTGAGGAGTCGTTCAGCAGTTTCCTCAGATCAGGGTCTTCCAAAATATGAGCAGGGAAGAGAGGATCCATCCTGAACCTGGCCAGCCTGTGGCAAAGACCTGGGGCACCAACAGAGCAATAATGAAAATGGGATTAATAACAATCAATACTTGTCTAAACCAGCAATCATCATACATTGGGGGCAAACCCTTAGGAAAAGAGATTTTGTCAAGCCAGCAGAGCCCTACCTCTGCAACATAGGCACAGTAATCTTATTCGTGTTTCTGTGTCACACACACAAATATAGAGATACAACACACAAACACATTGCACTCATTTGGGGGGACTGTATGTCCTTATCTACTGTAGCATCAGTCCCTTTGCATGCGTACACACACACACACACACACACACACACACACACACACACACACACACACACACACACACACACACACACACACACGACACATCTGTATTGCCCTGCCTGATTTTTTGCTGCAGAACTGGTTAGATGATCACCCCTGTATTCTGGCAGGTGAGATGACATACAGAAAATACATCATTGTTGTTTGCAATGCCCATTTTCAGCTGCTGTCTGTCATCTCCGTTCATTGCTATGGGAGCCCCAAACTGCCCTTGCCTGCAGTCATATCGTAACAGAAATAATTCAGCTGGAATCTTGGACTAGGTAAAGTTAAATAAGCATGCTCGCTCCTTACCTCAATGCACACACTTCCTTTCCCTTCTGTTAGGAAACTAGATCTTCCCCCCCTTTGGCTTCAGCAGGGCTCTGGTCCATCAATTAAATCCAGATGAAAAATGAGAAACAAAGCAAATGCAGGAGAGCTCTGCCAGCCTTCTGTCTCCCTGATTGTGAGTGGCTGCTGCTGCTTTAGCCGGCATTTGAATGTGGTGCTCACAGAGAAGGAAGATATTTCTACAGGGGGAAAATCTCACACCCATGCACACGTTTCCAAGCTCGGGGAGGTGAGGAGAGGTGTGAGCTGAGCAGAGCGGATCTGCTAACCAAAGCTGCTAGAGGGCTGTCTGCAGTTCTAGGTCTCCTGGTGCAGAGGGACTGGCGTGCAGTTCCAGGCTAGCTCAGTTGGACTGTGATTTCTCCCAATGTGTAAAACACCTGAGGGGTTTTTTTTCCTCCCCCTTCATTCCCACGTATAACTGTCCACCCCAGCCTGAAAGCCTTCTAGTGGGTCTGGCTAAGCTCGGCTTACATCACCTCTCTACCAGTTGCAGAGCGAAGCAAACTTGGGGGAAGCAGTCTCCTGTTGGCCAGTCCTGCTGCCACTGCACTGCAATCCACCCTCCTTACCCCTCCCTTTGCATAGTGTCAATGCATCTCTCCGCCAGCGAACCACAGACCAGAGCTGGAGCTCAGTGCCAAAGCCACACAATGTACTTGTCTAGGGACAGCCACCTTAAAGAAATACAACAGAGTCTGAGATGGGCTGAAAAACTGGCCAGATACTGAGGGGAGAGCGGGAGACCAAAGCGGGCCCCAAATGAAGATTTTGCCAAGAGAAAAGCTTCTACAACGCATCAGACCAATGGAAATGTCCCCATGCTTTTCTTTTAAATTCAAATGGAACCTGGGTTATTTTTTCTTTTTAACAAATTAACATTCCCCTGCAGTATTTCCTTGTAATTCACACATTATGCCCCCTGTGCTAGTGCCCAAGAACCGGAAGCAGCATAACAAAGGGGAAGTACAGTGTACTGGGGTTTTTTGGTTGCTGTTGTTTGTTTTGTGGGGGGAGAGAGAGGGGTTATTATTTTTATTCCACTTCAGGTTTTTGTAACACATCTGGGACCGGATTGACAATAGCGCCTGTTTGCACATGAGTGGCCACCTGGAGTTAGTTGCCTCACGCAATCCCTAAAATTCGCAAAAGTTACCCTCTAAAAAATCTGGCCCTAGCATGACACTGTCCTTTTGAAAACAACCAACACATGGGCGCAAGTGGTCATCTGATGCTTGTAAATTTGGCATTTCAATGCTGCACGACAACTGAGAGCACCATCTTACAACCTGACTTCAGTGGGAGATACCGCAGCTGGAGTTGGGCAAGCTGCAGGGGCTTGCCACTCAGATCTATGGGCAGGATTGGGAGCTTGGGGGGTGGGCCCTTAGTTTTACTTTGATCCTAAACCAGGACAGCAGGGTGGGATGGGCACTCACCTAGGAAGCATAAGGAGCAGGGGTCTGCTACAGACCTTGGTCAGTTACTGTCCCCTCCCCTCCTTTGTTTGTCTTATGTATGTTGTTTGGCGTAGGCGCTGTCTCTCACTATGCGTTTACAGTCCCCTGCCCTCTGTGGCTCTGATCTCCTGGGGCCTCAAAGGATACTAGCATATAAATAATGATTTAGGGCTTAATAGCAACTCCTAGACTCACTTCTCTCAGGACTCAAAAGCAGACATCAAAAAGGGTGGCTCAAACCGGAGCGGAACACATCTGGGTATGTTTTCAGCACATTTTTTTTGGTCAGTGCATTAAAAAATGTATGAGATAAATAATGGGCTAGCCATTACTTTAACTGTGAACGGATTGATTTTCCAAACCTGCAGGAAGGACAGCAATATATCAGTGCAAGAAGTAGGAAGAGCAACTGGAGGCAGGATGTTCAGAGAAGAACACTTGTGAATTCTGCGCGGCTCTTTTCTGCTGGCTCCCAATCTGATTAATGTTTTCAAGTCGTCGGATATTCATTTTATGTTAATTTATGCAGCAAATACAGTGTGTTAAAGCTGTTTGTTTTGTCGCAGTTGCTTTGATTTTTTGAACTGAGACTGGAGGCTATGCAGGGGGCTGAGTAAAGGGGGTTGTGTGATCTCCACCCTGCAGTTGGTTGCCTGGAGTTGGGAGCAAATGATTCTTTGTAGATTTGTTTGAAGGCTTGAGTTAAAGTAACTTGAATCTATCAAGGGGCACCCCCCCCTTCACCAGCCCCCTTCATCCTGCATACCCACCCTGTCTTCCATAATAAACCCAAAAGGACACTTTAATATATATATATATATATCAGGAGGGAGGGATAGCTCACTGGGGTTTGAGCATTAGCCTGCTAAACCCAGGGTTGTGCATTCAATCCCTGAGGGGGGCCACTAATTAACAACAGACATCAGAACCACGTTGTCAGCAAGACGAAATCATTTTATGGGTTTTGCTTGTACATGAATAAATGCTGATATTTGTGTTAAAGTCCAGTGCACATGTATAGAATTCCTTACAAACACATACATCCCATGAAAGTATTGAGTGCCCATTGCAACACTCATTGAAATTAATGGAAGACAACCACTGCCCACTTCAATCTGATCCAACATCAGCATTGGCTCAGGCCTGGCATGACATAGATACTCTGATAATATGCAGAACAGTTTGTTGTATAATTTTAGTGCCAAATCCATATTATCTGAGAGTCTGGCAGTTACTTTAACAAATATTTTGGACCCTGATAAAAATAACATGCTTGAACTGACTTTTTTGGATGTGTTTTGACTTGCTTTGTAAAGTCTCAGATGTTTGCATCATAAAGCATGCTAGAAAAATCACATGTAGGGTAGGATTACATCTTCTCTTCTACAGAGGTTCTTGAAAAGGAGTGTAAGTGTGTCATTAGCACCCTTTGGCAGACATGCTTACAATGCTTCTATATGGTTGTGAGACATGGACAACATATTGCTGCCACATTAGGAAGTTTGATCAGTTTCATATACACCATCTTCGGTCTGCTTGGAGGTTCAAATGGGGGAACAAGATTCCCAGTATTGAAATCTGTACTCATTGTCTGAGGTCAAGCATTCAAAGTATGTTCAGGAAAGCTCAGCTGTGTTGGTCTGGACATGTGGCTGACCTAAGAACACCCCAGGCCATATTTTAGGTCAGCTAAAGCCATCCATTCTCATGGGGGTCAGAACAAACAATAGAAAGGCACACTGAAGTCAAACTTGAAAGCATGTCAGGTTGACCCTAGGAGTTGGGAAGTAACAGCCAACACCAACCAAGGCGGTGATAGATTGGTCACGTTGCCGTTAACCATGTGAAGCAAGGTGCATTAACGGCTTATGGGAAAAACCTGAACATTGCAAGCAAGGATACAACAGCCTGCAATGGTCATGAACAGTGTTGGCTGTCCCACATGTAACCATTTTGGTGGTTCTCACATTGGTCTGACCTCTCATATATGTGTGCACCTCTAGTATTTGCTGAATCCTTGTACGTCGATATCAATGTGGGACTCCATCATCATGATGTAAGTTCTAATAGAGCAGTCATCACCTTACTATCTGAGCACCTTCCAGTCGTGCCATAAGCAATGTCACTACTCATCTGTCGCATGTCGTTTGTTCTCTCATCCTGTCCCCAGAGGGAGGAGCATGTGTGGTGGAGTGTCTTCTTTGGGTAGGGTTGTTGGGGAAGGGCTGTATTAATGTTCCCGTTGCTCTGTGTTTATGTTAATGGAGGCAGGGCAAAGAAACGTGCCTGGCACTTGGAGCAGAAAGCAGTAATGTGTGTCAAGTACTGGCTTTTTACCCACGAAAGCTTATGCCCAAATAAATCTGTTAGTCTTTAAGGTGCCACCAGACTCCCGGAAGCTATATGTGGTGGTTAGTTCTTGGGGGAGTTCATCCAACAGTCTCAGGTCATGCCCGGAGAAGGTTCTGTGTCCTGAACGGACAACTTTTACTCTTATCTTTGAGAGTTCCATTGTGCCAGGGATGCACAGCTGTCAACCACGGTCTTCAGAGCTTTAGATTAGCTTTTAAATATCCTGGGCCCAGCTACAGAGCACCTTGAAGATAAGGACTGAGACTTTGAACTTGCTGTGAAATTCTATAGGAAGTCAGAGCAGAGAGCAGGGGACAGGTCTGATGTGCTCACAGTAGCCTGTATAAAGCTTTAACCCCAGGTAAATAGTATCACTGAATGAATACAGGTTTGTATCATCAGGTCCTTAATTTTACAGTGTGTCTGTATGCAGACCTATCTCTAAATCACAGGAGTGTCAGTGCATAATCAAAAAAACATCATACCGCCATCTGGCTCCAATGTTTAGCCAGACAAACACTACCCAGAGGAAAAAAAAATCATAAGTTTGTAGCTAGTCAAGCAAAATTTGCTGCCAATAACTAAAGAATCTGGCAGTTGTAGAAATAGATTTTTAAATCATAGACAGTATTCCAAAATACAGCCGATGTTTGTTACTTTTGCAGAAAACAGCTCCAACCCCCTGCAATGTACAATGGCAGCAACCTGTAACTTTGTCTTTTTGACCTTGCTTTTGGGAGGTGAAGATGTCTCTGTGTCGTGGCTGTTTTGCCACATTTTGCACAGTTTGCTGAACTGTTAATCAAGGCAACCAGGAGCAGAGAATTAATCTTACAAGGTGTGAAATCATTTTGCACACGGAGATACGAGTGAGTAATCTAGCAAGAGAGGAAAGCTTATTGGGAATGCAAAATACGTCTGATCGGTTTAAAGGAAAGGTCAGAAAATGCAGCTGTCTCTCTTGGATGATGGGTACCTGCAGTGTGTGTGCAGGTTGCAAATTAGCAACATCTTGCACTGCCTGCTATTGATGGCGGATGATATTCAATCGTTTGTCATTAATCATTGCACATTATGCATCCAGCAACTGGTAAATGTTCACATTCATAAAAATATAGACACACCAAAAAATCACTTGTATTGCCACTGCCCGCATGCAAATTCCACAGAAGCCCCCAATTACTGTTGAAGTCCTGCTTCCACTGAAATCAACACCAAAAGCCCCATTAATTTTATTGAGTACAAGATTGAGGTCCATATCCCAGATGTAAAAAATTACTGAATATTCTTATCATTCCAAAATCATTTATATTTCAGTGAAATTAGGTTCATAGTAAACTATAATACTAATCATCTCTATCTGTGATGGCTCATGAATTATTTGTATTACCAGAGCATCTAGGAGGCCTAGTCATAGACCAGGGCCCCATTGTGCCAGGAGCTGTACAAACACAGAACAAAAGACAGCGCCAGTCCCAAGGAGCTTACAATGGAAGTATAAGACAAGACAGTGCATATGGTTACAAATAGACTGATGGGGAAGGCAAGGGAACAATGAGACAATATGGCAATACAAATAATAAATAATAATAGGCCAATATGACCAGCAGCCAAGTTTTGAAGGCATAGTAGAAAAGGAGAGTTTAAAGGCAGATAATAAGAACATAAGAACGGCCACACTGGGTCAGACCAAAGGTCCATATAGCCCAGTATCCTGTCTTCTGACAGTGCC